ACGCTTTCAAACCCTTGAGTCACGCCCATATTATTGCTGTACGTCACTCTTTCATCCTCGCCTCCCGAACTTATGAAGAAACGGAAGATCCTCGAAACGGGGCGCATCAGGGATGAGATCTAGACTTCGCTGCTGTTTGTGTCGGAATCCCGATGCTTGGTTAGTAGAGGTAAGTATATGCATATCGCAGGTGCGTAATGTGGTTCTGATTGGCCAATCAAACTAAGTCCGTGACAAGAGATATCCTTTGTGGGAGTGAGGTGGTCAAATACGCGGTCAATAGTCACTCCGTACCCAGCGGTCGATCCTCAATTCAATAATAGCATATGTCGACCTCCGCTTTTGTTTGGCCTGATCAATTGACTTCTCGATGTGCTCCGCTCCCCACACTGGCCCGGTGTCAAGTGTCATACCGCACGGTCGTTGCCATCCATAGAGTACGATAAACAGGACGAACCAGAAGACATGGCAAGTCAATGCATCAACAGCACTCTATAATTCCCAGTACGGGCTATCGTCACGGGAGAAAGTCGGATGTCGTTTGAGGAGGAAGCGAGTCTGTTTATATTGAGCGCGGATGCCGCTTGTGAAGCATTTCTTGATAGTAATCGACTATCCTCACTGGTCTCTTCGTCCATACAAGACGTACGATGCGCTCCGATAGTACCACTTCCTGCTCTCTTAGTATGGATTGACCTTGGTCAGGGAAATAGCGTCATCCGCACCAACGAGGCTATCTTCGGCGTGATTAGCGTTCTGTTCATGAGTGTGAACACGGCCTTCCAGTTTGGTATCAGTGTTGCTCTAATACGAGACGAGGTGTGTCATTTGAACTTACTTTTATCTAGAAAGTAGAATCCAGTGCATTCTTTCTACCGATTTCCAGGGAACATAGTCGGATTCCCTTCCAACGTTGTTTACAAACCAAGCATGCCCTTTATCTCGGAGCAAATGTTCCTCGTTATCTTGGTATCAGAGTCCCTTCAAGTCCCTGCTTGGAAACCAACGTCCCGTGTACGGATTGAGTCCAGCTCGATGTCATCCCAGATATCGGTGTAATCACTCTGATTGAAGCTCTGTAATGAATGTGTCACTTTATCTCCATTCTTCTCATTCCCGGCATCGAGGACTCTAAAAAAACCTTTCAAGAATCGATGAAGCTCTGGCCGGGAGTCGAACCCGGCAAATATGCAGGCTGATGAACAGACTGCTGTGCTATGAGAGCAGTATTTCACAGCTAGCTTACAAACTCTTTAGTTGGGAGTGTAGGTGCGTATTTTCCCAAGTTGGGAAGTCACATAAGCCTACCGATAAGGATTCGGATATGGAGAGCGTGTTTTGGTTTTCATATGTGCTGGTACCTGATTTGTTACCTGACCTCGATTGGGACTACAGGGAAAAATTTCCTATCGTATAGCACAATTTCTTCCCTGGGAGTCGAACCCAGAGGGTGTAAGCGAATTAGCCGGTGAGGCAAGTCATACGTGCTCCTTTCTGGCGCCCATTAAACCTTATAAGAGACAGACCTTACACAGGATTATGGGGGCAAAAACTCATACTGTACCACCTAATTTCTTCTCCTGGGAGTCGAACCCAGAGAGTATATATATGTGAATTAGCCGGTGAGCCAAGTGCGAGTCCTTTACATCGAAAGTCCTCCTGTTTCTCCTGATAGATTTCCAATTGGGGGCATTCGAGAGACCTTTGGGAGAAAAATGAAGTGCGAAACGTTCGCACTATCTATACTCTGGTTGGGAGTCGAACCCAGTATCATTATGGGGCTGGTATAGCCGGTATACGACCAGAGGTTGAAATTTTTACACTGCTACGTGACTGCTTTGTGGGCGCCGGTTTCTTTACCTAATGTGTTTCTTGAATTCTGAACAGAAAGAATAAGCACGTTATCGAGCTCCGCTCCATCAAGGGTTCATCCCAGGCCCCCGGGATTGTTCTTGATGGTGGGGTAGGAAGCTCTACGTGAGATTATTGCTTTGATGTCCGACCTGCTTTCTTTCCATGTTATGGATCCATATTTAATCAACCTTGTCTCCAGCTTGGGACACGCGTCTTCCTTCCGGGAACTTGGTCGGATTTCATTGGAGTACTGGGAACGTTGTTTGAAAATGTCTTACAGTCATGTACCGTTACTCTTTCTCTCGAATTAAGAAATCCTGGGGGTTCTCAATATCCTACTTCATGCCCGGCACGAGAAGTTTGCCGAGAATGAGTGTACTTTTGTATGACCAAATACTGCTCGTATCAGTATGGAGCTCGTTGGTTAATTGAAACCCTCCATCAAGAAAACACAGTGAACAAGTAAACCCCAGGCTCCGACAGTCGACTAGTATTCGAACCTGACAAGAAAATGTTTCTGAAGTCGACGACCCTATGTAGCTGGGAATCGAACCCAGGCTTCAGGGATGAATTTGGGATGTGTACTAGCCGATATACCAGGGAGTTGGTATTTGAAGTGAGTGTGAGTGCTAGTTCCTGGAAGGGGAAACGATGAAACATTCGATATTGTAACTGAAAAGCTTCTGAGAACAAGGAGAGTAAATTCTGCTTGACATCGAAGCGAAGTGTGGACCGGACTAGTTGACAAAGGTTCGGAAGCCCAAGGCTTAGCAGAACAAACACCAATCAATAAGCAAAAAATGCAGCTTACGATCATGTCACTACAGCATCTATTATCGAACGCCTCTGAGTCTGGTTCAAAGTTCGTGACCGTAAACCAGGAAAACAAAAACGAATCCATCGTTCAAATGTGATGAGTGAGCCGGGTGAAGTGAATTATACGCACCAAGAATCCCTCTAAAATCTGTTATGGAGACCTCGAGGTAGATAGAAGAATAAAGAACTAAAAGAATACTCTGTCCTCCAAGCGGTTGAAATGCACTCTGATGGGGAGTCGAACCCGCTTTCGGTGCGTAGACACTGAGTAACTGATATACTAGCAGAGGCTTGGATTTTCATGCGAGAGTGAGTTATATGAGACAGAGCGTGCTGAAAAATAGGCTAATTTCAATCCAGGCAGAGCGACCCACCACCAACATTTATCTCATTTGAGGGAAAACCTTTTCCGACTTGCTTTGGCGAGAAAAAGGAGTTTTCTGTCGGGGACCGTCCTAAAAATGAAAAGGTACGTTGCTAGCTTATTTCATATTGTCAAGTTGGGAGTCGAACCCAGTCTTCGCAGATTTGGCGTCTGCTAACTGGTACGTTATCAGGTGCCGGTTATTTGTAGCTTAACTGATCGACTTGTACTATACGAGGACTTCAGGAGAGAGAATTGGAACATTCGTTCCGTCCATATTGGACGACGCAGAATGAATGTTTGAACAGTAAATATAAAACCGCCCGCCATACTGTTTTCCGAAGCAGAAATATGCTTCGTCGTTATTATTCAGGGTCTCGAGGTAGACGTGAGTGGGTGGTAGGGACCCGAGAACTAAAAACACATGGTGACCTTCGACCTGCAATGTTTACATGCCTTCTCCCGGGGAGTCGAACCCTGCTTGTGTACGCATGCACTAACCCATAGAAAACGGAGTGGACACAGGCTTGATGGAGGAACATAGTCCACAATTTCAGAAATGGACGCACTGCGACTGAGGTATTCTTCTATGAGTCTAAGGGACTTGGAAACAAGACATTGGGTGTCTTCTAACTAGGGCAAAAGCTTAGTCGCTTCTCGGGGAGGTGATACGATTCAATCACGGATGGAAAGATCAGTGAATATATGTAGGTATGCAGAAAAGGATGGGTGCTAAGTCCGTGTGGTATGGTCCCGGGTCGCATGAGCAAGCGCCGAGCAACTTGGGCGATAGGAGTGGTCTTTCCGTGGGCGCGCCCGCTTCATGGATGAATCTGGCTGCATATCTGCAGAGCAGAAAGACAAGACAAAGAGGGGAATAAAGATGGAAGGAGAAAACTGGTTAGGACGTGACCGTTGCCGGAGCAAGCGGTCCGTCAGCCGACGGCAGACGGATCTTACTTTGTCCACTTTCTTTCCACAACCACGATAATTCCAGTAGGGCCCGCTCCAGGGCAACGCCTGCTACTTCAGGTGAAAACAAGTCTTGTATTCAATCGCTCGCATGTATTCAATATCTAAATAATGTGATGACTACCACCACCACAAGTAATAAGATGACTATTACTACTACTGCGAGTGCGAACGATATGAATGGCATCCCGACCAAATCCCGACTGATTTTGAGAAGCTCTTGAATGTCATTTGGAAGGCCAAGTGTAGCCGCTTTCGGTGCAGGAGTAATAGGATTGAGAGGGAACAAACGTTCTACAGTCGGTCCAGCTTCATTAGCGTCGATCTTTTCGTTATTAGTCTTGAGTAACGCGGTGTCAAACGGTATTCAGTTATGAGCACGACACACTCATGTCGCTACCTCCCAGAAGCACATCTCACTCAGAAGAGGTTTGTGACTTCAGTACATTGCGCAATAACTCAATCTCCTTGGACCATAGTGTGAGGGGACACCCGACTGATACACTGGGTACTTACGTTTTCACACAGTACACGTTCGGGCTGCAAACTCGCAAATATGTCGCGAACTTCCGACTCTGCAAGGGGTTCCTCAGCGGTCCCATCCAAGCTCATGCTCAGGAAGACCCAGATAAGACTCCTATCCGCGAGCCCTCAATGTAAAAAGCAGAACAGGAGGAGAAGCGTCAATCGAGGAAATGCAGAATACAGTTTTGTACTCGTGCCTCATCCAAGCCAAGGTGTCTTCTCTGCTCTCGGAGACGTGCGCTAGGCGTTTAAAAGTACCAGGAGTGTAATAGAATGGTTCCGACATGCCAAGAACTGTACAAAGGATTGGCATCTGCGCCTGGAAACTGATCTGCAGTGACAAAAGGCCAACCGTCCGTACGGGGTGAGACAACGGTAACAGCTGTTTGATGACTTATTAGTCAAAGAGGGATGCAATAAGGATGTATATACTCACGAACTATATCATCGAGACCCTTGAGCTTCCTGACGATCAAGGTTCGGGTTGCCAGGCTGAAGGCAGTTAGCTTCATACTGTTATCAGCAGTAACATTCTGCATCACGTACGACATGCATAGGAATGGTAGCGATCTGCACGATGTTGCTCAATATATACTGGAACGAAGTCAATTCGCTGCTCACCAAGCTGTGATTCGAATTTCCTGCCTTTTTCGATAACATTTCGGAAAGACAAGGGAGCGCATTTGAAAGTGCCATCGTCTGAAGTTTTCATGACTGAAATATCAGACCGAGTCTTCCCAGTTCTGGAGGCCATGGTAGAAAATGTTTCCCAAGCTAGGAACAGCAACGAGGAGAGAGACGGGTAAGGTCTCACTATTAGTGAGAGTACTCCTGGTAATATGATACAGATGGTCAGACCGAGATGATATCTAGTGGCTAGTCAAGTAGGCAACACTGATTATTACCCTGTTGGTTAAAACGTGGTTGAGTTGATAAATGTATTCTTTTGTGGAAGAGGCTATCTGAAAATTGTCACACCGTTTAAACAACGAAAAGAGTGGATACGGCGCCGTAAAACTTGATACTCATGGAACAAAACCTTGAAATGCGGCTGTGTGGTGCATGTATATGCGGTTGTAGTTTTCGGATATGGACTCTCGGTCGGGAAGATATCGATCTGACGATTCTATCCTTGCGCGTGCAAACTTCCTCACAAGCATATAATACTTGTCGAGCCTATAGTCACCTCAGTCCAATAAGACTAAGCATTTCGTGAAGCACTGACCTAAGTCAATCGATTCCATTCCACTCACGAACCGTCGTTTCCCAGAATCAACTTAGAAACGAAAGCGCAGCTGGCGTTGACGTGATAGTCAACACAAGTTCTGTAAGCTCGGTTGCGACAGCTTGCCGAATCAAGGGCTTGTCAGACATCCAGAAGCCTAAAACAATTCAGCCAAAAGTATCATGTCAGATTAACATTGACTCACAATAAAATATTCCTTTCCACAATCTTGCCAACTCCGGCGGTGGAAGCGCATCTTTAGAATCAGAGAGGAAAACTGATAAGTTTTTGATCGCTTTGTTGTGGACTTTTTTGTCTGTTCTTCGAGTGAGAATATGAATTTCAAACAGAGATCAGGCCTTACCTGTACGCGAGATATTTTCCAAGGGGAGACACCGGCGAGGATGAGGACGAGGAGGAATGAAGAATTTTTCGACGGGAGGATAACCTCCAGCAAATGGAGACGATGAGAACAGAAGCGAAGAAGATTGTAAAGTAGAAGAGATAGAAATCACAGGTATTCCATTCAGAGTGATCAACATTTCTGCAAGAGGTACGGTTGCAACGATATTGTTGTGTTATTGCTGGGACGACGTGACGGCTTACAAGTGGGGCTGGCTTACAAACGTCGAGAGTGGGAGACAAAGAGTCAGGATGACGGCCACCGGGTCCAACGCAACGGATGCGTGGCTAACTCGGACCGTACTACCGAATTGCCGGCTATGGCACGCCCCCGGGCCGTTAATGCCAGGTCTTCCGAGAGGGGTCTGAGCCCCTGATCGAAGGGGGTCTTTGCGCTAGACCTTATAAGGAGCGCTTTTCGCCTTATAAGGAAGGACCCTTTACGCTATTAGGAAGGTGTACCGTTGTTTCGTGCAGATCGACATCGGGCTGCCAAAAGTCGAAAAATCAAAGGTCACACCATAAAACCTACTACTAAAGTAGCAGGAATCATAGCCAAAGGGCGCGCGCGCATGGCTCACCACGTCAGCACAAGCCATGCGTATTTTTCCTTCAAACCGGGGTCTGTGTGTCGTCGAGGAAGATGATTTTGTCGCAGCCACACATCAAAACTGCTAGGGTCTGGAACTAGCGAGGCGTCGGTACGATGACGCGGACGGAACTATACGATACACAAGGTGCGTGCATTACTTTCCGCTCCCCTTCTTTGTTTGACATCGCGCAGGTTCACTACTGGCCTCCCTAACTTGTCACGGGTCAGCCTATGGATGCTTCAGCTCGAAGGAAGGCGCGCCCGACCCTCTTCTCGTGGCAGAACCTCCCCTAACAAGAACACTCACCAAATTATCAAAGCGCCACGATACGCATCCTCCCTCTTCCGCTTGTTACCCATCTGAAGGCTTTCGCATAAGATCGCCGCACTGCACCCTCCCGTCTTCGCCTCCCGAACTTGGAAAGTAAAGCTGTAAAGCTTTAAAGGATGACCGTAACGTTGAACCTCAAAACGTCGTGCATCTGGCATGAGACTTCGCTGTTGTTTGCATCAGAGGGACGACACTTCGTTAGTAGAGGTGAGTATATGCGTATGGCGGGTGTGTATTGTGGAACTAATTTGACCATCAAGCCAAAGCCACGACCAGTAGCATCCTTCGTCTGATCGAGTGCCATCGAATAGGCGGTCGAATAGTTCGTGTTTGATAGCACTTTATACTCAGCGGTCCCGATATTCCTCGAATGAATGATGGTGGGCGTCGACTTGCAAATGACCAATCCAAGCATCCTTCTCTGCCTATATGGTTGATCCCTCGACGTGCTCAGCTCCCTTGACCCTAGTGTCGAGTGTTGTACTCCGCAATCGCATTACCACCTGTTAGAGTATGACGAAGAGGACGAACTAAAAGACGTCCGCAGGACAACGCATCGATAGCACCAGTATGGGTTATCTGCACGGGAGGAGATCAGGCATTGTTCAAGAAAGTGAGTTTGTTTACATTGCGCGTGGATGCAGATTGTAGATCTGATTTGATAGCTTTTCTTGATAGCGGGAATCGGCTATCCTCAATGATCTCTTCGTCCATACAAGACGTACGATGTGCTCCGATAGTGTCGCCTCCTGCTCTCTTCGGTATAGACTGACCTCGGTAAACAGATTTGGGACGCGTCAATCTCCCTCTCGCATTGTCAATTTAGCTTAGGGGAATAGCGTCATCCGCACCAATGAGGAATTCCTCGGTGTGATTCACATTCTGTTCACGATTGTGAACGCGCCCTTTCCAGGTATCACTCTTACCTTGATATGAGACAGGGCATGTCTTGATTCCATTCAGATGCTTAGTTCGTTACTAACAAATTTCATTTCCAATGCATCTTCCTTGCTAATTGTCAGAGAGCGCGGCCCGAACTATTGTTTACAAACCAACCATGCATCTCTACTCTTTCTTTCGAAGCAGATGTTCTTCGGGGTCCTTGTATCGCACTTCTTCGCGTCTCTGCGTAAAATATGAGCATTGGGTCTAGCTCGACGTCGTCTTAGATATCGGTGTAACTAGACTCCGTAATAAACGTATTGTCTTCTCTATTATTCTCCTTCCTATGTTAACCGAGAACTTTGAAAAAGAATAAATCAAGGGATTCTGAAGCCCTAGCTGGGAATCGAACCCGGCGCATATCCATACATACCGTAGAGACTGGTGTGCTATGAGAGCGATATTTCACAGCGGGCCAAACTCTCGAATACGAAGCGGTATCAGAGTATAAGCCTACCGATAATGATTTGGAGATGAAGAACTCGTTTCTGCTTTCGTACGTGTTGACAATAGAAAGCGAGAAACCCTTTCACAAATTGCTTAGTTTATCATACGACCTCGACTACGATTACGGGGCAAAATTTTCTAATTGAGTCGATTCAACTTCTTCGTTGGGAGTCAAACTCAGAGGGTGATGTGAATTAGCCGGTGAGGCAAGTCATACACATTCCTTTCTGGCGCCCAATCGAACGATATAAGGCAACAATTCGTTACATGATCTTAATTAGGATTTAGGAATATGGGGCAAAAAATAACTCTGTATTCGCTTATTTTTTCTCCTGGGAGTCGAACCCAGAGAGTATGTGAATTAGCCTATGGGTCAAGACGTACCTTTCAAATTCCAAACCCTCTGCTATCTCTCGGCGAAGTTCTGGTACTTCCTTCTACAAAGAGGCCCAGTCAATCGGAGGGAACTTTGGGCTCGGAGGAAAAATTGGATCTGTGTTGGAATGTCAAACTCTGGTTGGGTCCGTCGAACCCAGTATCATTATGTAGCTGGTATAGCCGATGTACGACCGGAGGTTGGGATTTTTAGATTGTTACGTGACGATTATGTGAGCGTAGGTTTCTCCGCCCAATGTGTTTAATATTTATACTTGATGCAGAACAGAAAGAATAGGCGTGTTATGTAGAGAGTAGATCCCTCTGAAGAGACGGCTAAATTTCCGTGAGTAAGCGCCTGGGAACGTCCAAAAAGAATGACCTCAAGTCCGACGCTGTTTTCTCCTGATGGTGGGGTATGATGCTCTACCGGTGCCTTCCAGCCACGCGTCAAAAAAGGTATACATTTATGGGAACACCTGAAATGAGCACTATGTGAGATTCGAACCATTACTATGACCGCGCTGATGGATAAGCAGCCAAGGCTCGGGGGTAATGGTAAAAAGGAGTAAATATGACTAGTCTACGATACGGACTGAACTATGAAACACTTCATTTATTAGTTAAGAGTTGACACAATGCCTCTCGATTTATGGGCGGCTCGTCGTCTATTCGACAATTTCTTCCTGCAGTCATTCACCAAAAAATTATGTATCCTCGCCGTTTCCCTCGAAGCCAATGTTCCTCCCGTCAGGTCTCTGCGTAAAAACGAATATTTCGTGTACGGATTGCGTCCAGCTTTGGTCTAGCTCAACGTCACATTGGATACCTGTGTAACCAGACTGACCGAAGTTCCCTGATAGATGATCCCTCTCATAATCGTTCTCGCCATCAAGGACTTTGAATTAAAAAAGGCGCTTGAGGAGTCCATAGGCTTTGGCTGGGAGTCGAACCCGGCGAATACCGTTAAACAGACTGGTGGTCTATGAGAACAATATTTTGATGCTAGTTCACAGAACTCTCATCCCCGGGAGTGTCGCCTGTTTCGTAAGCCGAGAAACTAGAGTCCAGACTTTGAAGCGATATTAAAGCATAAGCCTACACGTGAGGACTGGCAGACAGGAACCCGGTTCTCGGGTATCGGACGTGCTTTGCACCTTTGGAGGGTGACCTTCGAACCTAGTCAAGAGAAAGTCCTTCGCTAAGAGGTAGCTTATTTGTTACATTACCTCGATTTGGATTGTGGAGCAAAAACGGTTTCTGAAATACGTGATTTCTTCCCTTGGGAGTCGAACCCAGGGGGTAAGTGAGTTAGTCGGTATGCCAAGAGGCTGGTCCTTTCACACGCACTTCAGGCACTTCTTTAACCAACGTACGGATCAGCATTCCTGCACTCGGAGACTTCTCTCTAGAAGCCAGCCAGAAAGGATTGCTTAAAAATGAAAAAGAGGGCTGTCTTCACAAAACAAAAGGACGCTCTGGCTGGGAGTCGAACCCAGTATGTAGCTGGTATAACCAATACACGACCAAAGGTGTATCCATCTTAGGGAGTGTGGACAGGAGGATGATCACTGACGATTGAGGCTGGCGATCTTCAAATCGGTCTATGATAGACATGCGGCATCTGAGCATCGAGATGCACAAACTGCAATGCGAAATATTTCAATCGGGAGTCAAACCTAGCAGGAGACTGTATCGAAATTTCGAAAGGAATATGCGGACTGTGAGATTGATTCCGAGTGAACGGGAAAAACACTATCAATGTGTATATGAAACTGTACACCAGACTGTGACGTTTGTTCATAATAGTCGCTAGTCATTCGTCATTAACTCTCTCAGAATACCCACATCCATTCGAGGCTCAAAAGTGACCTTGAAAGGCAACGGACGCATATTCGGTGAGTCCGAGAGTCTCATTGTGTCGACGTCGTCCTGGGAGATGTTGAATGCCCACATAAGGAGAGCGGTGTTGATGAAAAGAGATCTAATATCTGTTAGCATCATGGAATGGGGACAACAGTGGGAGCGGACCTATTCGCGACGTGCATCCCCGGGCATACCCTCCTTCCAAATCCGAAGTTGTAATTCTTGATATCGTCGCGGATGGTCCCGTCTGGAGAGAGCCATCGTTGGGGATCGAAGCGTTCTGGGTCGGGGAAGACTTCGGGGTCCCGGAATATAGACCTAGATGCAGCATAGAATTAACAAATGAAAAAAACTGCTGATTATCATGCTCACCAGTGATTTGGGATCACGATGGATCCTTTGGGTATCACATAGCCATTCTGCAATAACCCCGATAGAAAAACAGTGATGCGATCGGCAATGGAAACGTACCCAGATGATATCCTTCGATGCACGATGGGGAACGCCTTCATGCGAATATCATTATTCCTATCGTTTCGTAGACGAGTGGCATACCCACCTGATATCGAGATTGGACGCCTGGTTCCAAACAGTGTGAGCGTTACTACCAGCAAGAGGAGAGAAATATACCATCTGTACGATTCCAACACGAAAGCCGTCACCTCTGTAAGTTGGTCGCGGTCGTCAAAGGTAGGGTCTGTAAAAGATGAGAGAAAAGTACGAATCGGAAGATGCAACACACGAACATCGTTTAGCGTTCCCCACGAGTGCATCGATCTGCGCACGCGCTTTCGCCGCGGTCTCTGGGTAACAGGCTAGCGCCATGATAACCATGCTGATGGCGGAAGCTGTCTAAGACGAGGAGTATCAGCGAGTGTTGAGCAGAATGGGAGAGAAGACCCACTGTATCCGACCCAGCACCGAACATCGACCCAGCCAAATATGCCGCCTCATTATCCGATAAGCCGTACATCGTCTGGTTCTCAATGAGGTACTTGGCGAAGGATGGCTGGGCATCTTCTCCTGATACCTAAGAGAAAATCTCAGTCCCTTCTTACGGAAAGGAGATACAATCCTCGTACCATCCGATTGCGCACGACGTCGATTTGAGACTTGAAAAAACCGAGCTCTTGCTTGTGGAATGCACGTAGTTCACGGAGGTATGTGGGTATGTAGCGGAGGATGGGGAAAGAGTCGACCAGGTATGCCCCGGGTCGCATGGAGCGAGCGACTTGGACGGTGTTTTGGTTTATGAGCTGGATCTCGGGGTCTGTATACGAGGTAGGGTTGGTCTTTCCATATGTGAGTGCCATAATGACGCTTGCTGCGTATCTGAGAGAAACAGAGAACGATGAATACGAGATGAAGGGATGTGAGCTTGACGGACCTTCTTGCGTGGTTGATGTGGTCGGATGGATTATCGAGCAGGTCAAGGATGAAGTTTTTGGCATTACGCGATTGTATGTGTTCGTAGGTGCGTGCTTTCTTTGTTTGGAGATTTAGGTGGAGAGCTCTGCGATGGGACAAGTTGAAAAGTGAGGCTTTGGCAATCATAGAGACTGACGCACTTGTGTAGACGCCTTAGTCTAGAGCCTGCAGATATGAACAAGACTCGCATTCCGCCTGACATGATATCTGAGGCGGCGATTAGCCTCGGACGGTCCATTAAGGAGAACCAGTGGTTTTCCATGATTTCAATGGCAGCCTACGCGTGGTCAGTTTGTAATGAGGAAAGTCAGTGATGAAATTTTGAACGTACATTGTATCGCCCAATGACAATGAAAGTTTGGGTTCCTTTTTTCATAGAAAATACTGGACCGTAGGTTTTGGTCCATTCTTCGTATTGAAAGAAAGGGCTGTGGATGACTATCAGACAAGTAGACGAGGTGTTTATTGATGATGAACTCACTATTCCTTAGGCAGGTCGGTACCAAAAATCCAGTGCGATGGCGGACCAGGTGGTAAGGGATAATTTAACGAAACCTTCCAGCGGTAGATGAGGAAGCATGCTGCAAGAAATGCGGCAATGACTGAGAAATCGGCTGCTGTTATGGAATAGATAAGCATGATGGACGTGAAACGAAGAGAGGCGTATGTGCCGAAGTGCTCGTGAGAGGCGTATTACAAAGGTCGCGTCAGAAGGTGTTCACATGAAGCACCAAAGCGGTATTTTGTGCCCATAGAGAACCCGGCATATCGCTTTTTATATCAGTAGTCTTCCAATGAAGGAGCGGATGAACCAGGCCAGAGGTAATGTCGTGTTCCTAGGGTTCGTTGAAAGGAAGTTTCTCCCGGGGTATGGGCAAAAGCTATAGGGTCAGACGCGATCAGAGAGTATTATTGTCACTTCTGTAGAGGGTGTTACGGTTCCAGAGACAGAGTTCTATTTTCGTTGGACGAACATGTGTTTGAGCGGGGCATTCATGAGGCCATTTTTTGGAACGCTTATAGGCTTTACAGATGAAGGTATGACGTGCATGGGCCATGGCAGTGTGTCGTCGACGCTTCAGATTCATTCGCTCGAGGTTTAAAAGTGATACCAAATCTGTATCAAATTACGGTTCATCATTCAGATTTGCACTGGCGAAAACAGGGGAATATTGAGCATTACTTACAGTTAAGCAAGGACTTGCCTCGTGTCTTCGTGGCGGACCGGAAGATAGTCAAAAAAGGAAATTCCAATCTCAACTCGGGGTCCCGGACCTACAACCGTGACCGCCACCTGTCCTTCATTCGTTAATTTCTTTGCACGTTCGAAGTTCACAGTGGACATGCTTCTCTAAAACACCCTTTCAGTCATATCTCTAACTGACGTCTGAGGCTCAAGTGCGTTGCCCAACTCTCATAATAGACTCTCGGTCCTCGGAGTTTTAGGCTCCGCGTTCAGTTTGATCTGCTGTGGACTTATTCGGGGAGGAAGATAGGTTTGACATGGAACCAAGAAGGCAGTGTATGTTCGCGATTTATACTGGCAGAGAGATATTGAGAAAAAATTCAGGACGTTTTAGTTTCACCGACCTATCAAGTCGGCTTCGTGCCCTCCCTACCAAAATGACTGGACGAAGTCGCCATGATTGATATCTGACACTCGCAGAAGTCTTGTGAGCGTGGAAGTCGACGTACAAGCCTGATGATAGCAGTTGCGGTATCGGCGGAGCAAATCAGTACGACGTTGCTATGCCAACGTAACTGCGGAGAGTTTCATTCGACGAGAACATTCCTTACCCATCGCAAAAAATCTCTCACGCTAATGGCGGTCATTCCGGAGTCCTATCACTAAAAAACACCGATGTTAACGGTGAACTCTTCCCGAAACTTTTACCGACAGTTTGATCGGCGACTCAGGCGGCTTTCAAGGATACAGAAACGCGGAGTAGACGGTATCGACTTAGTCGGGACTATGGGGGTCGAAACACGAGGCTGAAAATATATTGCTGACGTGGTCCTGAGCTCGTCGACCTTCCCTGAGCTTGAAGCTTCACGGCGACGATAGCCAGTGCGTGCATCCTGGACAATACCCTGCATGTCATTTACAGAAACGTATGGTTTCTGCTTTGTTCAAACGTGGACATGCACTGACTTGATTTACAGTTTCACGTGCATCAAGCGAGATGAAGCAAACTTTCATGATGGTTGTCGAGTCGAGGATGTCATCAATATTATTCGTAACAGCATCATGTACGCTTTCACTCGTCCGTACCAACGCAGCATATGCTAAAATAATATACGCTGCCTTTCGGCATATGCCTGTACGTCTATCATTCATATTCTTCCTAATACGCACAGTCTCGGTCCCTATAAATGATGTCGATAAAAAGCAAAAACTCACCGGCGTCCGTCAGCTACCCCCTCATTGTTATCCAGTCGACATCTCTTTCTGCGAAAGCGTATCTCCAGGGTCGATGTCGATGTCTGATGCCATCTCACACGCTTCTGTATCATCATCATTCGACGATTCATATAACTTGGTGCACAGGACTATCCCCGTGCGTACTTCTTCTCTTTGTGCGCTCTATCTTCTCCTGCCCAGTACGCGCTCTATCCGGTCAACGCACGCTGTGCCAGAGTCTGGACCAATGAATCGGTCTGTACCGCCCTCAGCGCTGACTGCGAACAATAAGGTTCGGACAAGGCACTCCCTCCCGCAGTTATTTCGCCCGACTTCATACATCTCCAATATGTCACCGGATTTTTCAGTCTCCGTCTCCCTTTCTTCTCATCCACGAACAAGTTCTAAAGTTTTTTCTGTCTTGTCTCCACTTATCCAGCGTCGACGGCAAAAGTCTGCCGATACATGTCCTTCGGGAGTCATGCCTTCTCCTTGCTCACAGCCTTCTTCACCGTCATGCCCAGTCACCACAGAGCACCGTCTCCGTCAGCTCGACAAACTTCAACGCGTTCTAGGCGAGAAGATACCCTTGGAACTCGTCCTCGGGCCTTCGCCACACCCAAACAGCGTCTCTCTATCCTCTGATTCTCCTACATCGAGCTTCAGCTCACAGACCCGACTAGCGGATGCATCGCCCTCGCATAACCATGACGGGCCTAATCACCCGCGGAGAATGTCCTTACAATCGGAGACGCCACTGTCGCGTGCAGTACCGGAACCATGGCTGGCACACGCGCCGCCTTCGGATAATCCCAATCATCCTAAACGGCGGCAAAGTGTAACTTTGGCGCCGGCAAACGAACCCTCTTCATCTCTCGACTACCACCACCGTTCGCACTCTTCACCGGCATTTCAGCCTACGCACCCACATGGTTCCAGACCGTCACTTTCCATCACTACTCCAAATTCTCCTAACAACGAGCACACGAGCTTAAACTCAAATCCTTCTTCCACTTTTCACAGCCATTCAAAATCATCTCCCACCCTGTTCTCTCCAACATCAGTCCCACCGACCGAGTCCAGGCCATTTATTTCGCTCTCGCACTCAGATTTAGAACCGGTGTCAGGTGTCGCTGCGCCTGATGAAGGAAGTGACACGCGTCATAATCGAACTGCACGCGAGCTTTCATGGGACACGTTTACACAGACGTTTCCTCTTCCGCGTCCGGACACTCCCTTTCTCTCGAGTTGTATCGCGAAGAGTGATGGTGATGATGATGGGGACGACGAGGTGCATCTGGGAATTAAGAAGGAACGTAGGCAGGGTTGGAGCGGGCAGTGGAACTGCGATGATATGAGGGAAGTCATTGAACGCCTACGGGATTTACGATAGTTCGGTTGTGAAGGGAGCTTCGTTCGTTGGTGAGTTTTGGTATTCCCTCATGTTTTCCAAGGCTATGGGTTATTGATGGGTTTCTGATAGATACGTCTTATTCCATTTCCTCGCCTATGTATTACAAGGGTCGATAATATTACCTGTGTGTACATAATCCTAATATGTATCTCGCTACCTTATGTCTGTTCTCACGTTAATGTATGATAAATATTTTCTAATACCTGGGCAACTGCCAATAACAATAGTCTTATTCTTTGACGGTATTGCTCCGAACTTTAAATGGTGCGATGCCACTGTTGTCTCTCGGATATGGACAATTCCCTTCCACATGGGGTTTCGTTCTGCGAGAACTGATCCTGTGATCGAATAGCAATGACCATGATAGATGGTGGTATTTACTCAACGCAAATCAGCCTTTCGATAAGAAAGACATAGATATAACAAGGGTTCGAGATAAGAAAACCAAGGTCGTACTGATGCCAACAGATGATGCTGAAACTAGAAGATAAAGTTTCCGAATTCCGGCGATCCCGTGCATGTTTCTGCTGCTTCTTACTGATGATCTGTAACATCTCAATTTTCAGACGGATTTCAAGAGGACTATATAAGAACACGTAGTCAAATCGATTCGAGACTATGGATATTCTTGGACGGTAGCATGTAAATGTCGTCCACAAAAGATGGGCAAGAAGTGACAGCGGTAAGTTAAATCCTTCGAGCTGTGCATGGTAATATTCAGCGACAGAAATGAGGAAACGAAAGGAGAAAATGGTGTACCTTGTCTCATACGTTTCCATATCAAGCTTTCGAAAAAGGTTCCCGAACACAAGGTACAGTTCGCACCACGCAAGGCTGAGAAGACGGACATAAGCTTCGATACCACTGCTAATGGGCCGTCATTGTACTCACTTCACACCCAAACATGACCGAGGACCTTTCGAAAACGGTACGAGATACTTATCCAGCGATGTTTGAATCCACCGATCAGGGTTGAAGGTCTCTGGCTGAGGAAAGATATCCTCATTCATCAACATGAAGTAACTCCCCACTCCGACGATAGTCTACGAGATATTCAGTCAATATCTTCTTCGAAGAATGTACAAGACAACCCACCCCTGCGGGAACTGAAATCCCATCAATATACATATCGGTGCGTAACACCCTTGGAAGGGAAACCGGCACGCCGATACTCATTCTCAGTGATTCTTTCACTACCCCTGTCTGATGCCGAAGTTGATGGATAGTTATCCTTGGGAAAAGTGCAACGACATACCAGGTAGGGTAATTTCTCAAGAGAATCATACGACATAGGTGATCTCTTGTCCGGCCACATAGTCTTCAGCTCTGCAACGAGCTTCGCTCGGACCAAAGGGTCGTTGAGAACATGGAAGAAACCAACACTCATTGCATTGCTTGTAGTATCAGTTCCCGCAATGATGAGCGTTTGCGCCTAGGAAATAGGATCCGAAAAGTCAGTTACCGACCAGTAACGCAACATAGGCGTACCTCAGCCAACAACGCCTTCCTCGAAGGTATCTCCTCGTCGTCCAACAAATGATGATAAATCGTGTCATGGACAGCGTCAAGCACCCCAGGATCGGCTAGGATCCCATCGACTTGTTTCCCGAGCACAGTTTGCAGTCGGAAGACGCCTACTGACTCTGGGTTCATTTTTATCATCAGCCATTCCGGAAGATGGTGCAAAAGTGCGAGGATAGGGAAGTGCCGTACTGCGCTCATCGTGGCTGTGGCACCCTCCATTCCCTGGAGAATAGGATGGGCGAAGCTTGGGTAGTGGAGCGCATCAAATGATTCGGCGAAGCAGTATGCGGTGATGATGTCCATAGTAGTGGCTTTGAAGGCTTGGTGTAGATCAACAGGTCTACCACGGTATTCTTCAGCAAGGATACCTGTGAGCGTATCGACCTTCCAAAAACTATTAAGCTAGTGTCCAGTCAGGCCGTCGGAAAAAGAGACATACCTTCGCCTGGATAACACTTTCCAGTTTGAGAATCGACCGCCGCGAGAAGAGAGGGTTGAGGATCTCCCGTCTCTTTTTCGCCAAAGCGGGATCAGTGAATGCGAACACGGATTCATCGACGTTGAAGCACCAGTAGAAGTTCGGGTCTTTGATCACGTTCGAATGTCCGGAATATATGGAAAAATATGCCTGTGGGGTACTGAAGTGTAGCTGAAAATGATATCGATGAGTCTTGTGCATTATTTCGGATAATGGCAGGCGCTAACCTCGTTAGGCGATATACGAACCACTGGACCTACAATATCTCAGCATCAATAAAATACCCTAGACAAAGCAGGATTTTAACAACCTCACCATAAATCCGATGAAGACGCTCCAATTCCTTGACGAGCATTCCATTTTGAATTGTCTCCCAGTATGTTACATACCACGATGTGAGCGCAGCAATTTTTGGTCCGGGAAACCCTCTGAGGGGATGAAACACGAGCCTGGATAGGATACGATAGATACACCAAATCACTGTTGCAGCAAGTAGAAACATGACTGTGGGAGGTATCCGACATCGTCCAGCTTTATAGCAACCGATTCAACAAGTTTCTCCGTATCTCACCGTTCGCACCAAAGCTGTCTCCATCTGTGTTCAGATACGGGAGAAGCATCTGAAATAGATGAGGAAGCTCGCATGAGTGGCGAATGAGTGGGCGCGTGAACGGCAGTTAAAAGTCAGCAAATGACCATGTAGCCAATGATGGTCGTTCGTAAGGCAGTGACGCAAGAGAATGGTGTCTTTCGGGAAATGCCGGGGTAAGCTTCCGTTGGCCTTCCGCACTCGACGATTGCAACTAAGGAATGTATAGGCTCTTTCACAAGAACTTGATGAGAACTTGGATATTTTTCCGTTATTGTTAGGACCATTTGCTCCCTTTCTTATTTTCATCGTCATCTTCTATTCAAGCGAGGATCTCTCTCTTTCTTACCGCCTGTTCTCCCATGACTTTTCTGTTCCGAGCCTGTGGCAAACAGAGCGCATTCGTTAGACCAGATTATTCGCTCAGCTTATTAGACAACCAATTTAGCTTTGTTTATTCCAACAATAACACTGGGAGACCGCATGCTCTGAGCTCTGTGATTCTATGAGCTCAAGTGCTTGGCTCGGAGTTGGGATTCTGGGGAAGTCATGCTATGAGATTGCTTCCTTGGCAGAGAAACCTGTCTCTATAGATGTGCATTATGTTTTCGTAGACAATCGGACGTTCTAAGGACTGTTCGACTTGGAGCAAACTTAGCGTTACTTAGAGCAAGACTTTGTTAGAATATGGATAGCTATTTTTAGAAGTGCGAGCTTGCATGAATATTCTCGCTCGTTCTCCCCATATTCCCCGGGAGGCTTACTCGTTTATTCTAGTACATTCTACATATTCTAGTAGTATAAAAGCCATGTAGTTAGTAGGGCATCGCTAGCGCAATTACCGTGAACATTAGTTCCTTGCTGTGCTCACCTGTGAACCGCGAGTTCTTACAGACTTTTGGTGTAGCTTCTTGTTTAGGTGGTCGATTTAGGGTATATTACAAAATGAGAACCTGATTTGGAGCAGCGTTTGTTCTTACGCGAAGATATCCAAAAACAGCAGACCCTGCCAGTAGTCGTCGGCGAAACGTTTACGTCTGTGAGCAATACTTACCTTTTCTTCGTCAATGACTTTCCTGCACCCAGGAGCAAGCAATAGAGCACCATATCAGGTATTACATCCCCTATGAAAACGTATCTGAGTGTTCATTGGAGGTCAAATTGAAGGACGGCCGAGTTCGCTACGAAGTCGCTCCATCAGATTTATAGCCTCAAACCATCCGGGTCATTGCTTCGGACGTACCTCTGCTATTGTCTCTTTGGTTATATACAGAGTGGAAGAGTAGCTAATGGTGAGGATATATTCTCTTCCGTTTCATCGACAAGCATGGTCGATTTGTTCTCAGGAAGCTTTCTTTTCACTTTGCATAGTACCTCGTGTCCGGCTGCGGTAAGCAAGAACTTAGCAGGAAGTTCATAAATCAGCGGAAACAGGGTATATTCTACGTTTCAATTGCCAAAACCTCTCCATCTTAATATAAGGAGTCATGTTCACGCCAATGACGTATGCTCGGTCCCGTGGTCTTTCCTCCTCTCCTCGGATAATAAATGCATTGCATCATAAAAAAAACATCTTAAAATCAGACGATATCAAGCTCCATCCGGGAGTCGAACCCAAGATGCTTGCAGATACGTTACTACTCGTCACCTATTCTTCCTATAACACTTACTAGTACAAGAGTTATCCATGTCCCAAGTAATCATAGAAAAGTACCACATAGTAACTGAGGGCGACGCTCGACAAGGTAGGTCATCCATCTATTGTTCGCCACCTAACATAGTAAACGTTTCTCCTTGTCTTTCAACTGAGAATTGTATTCAAATCCCAAGGTTGCGGACCCTAGCTCGCGCACACGTCCCTACCGCTCGGTACATAACATCCTGATAGTTACAGTGTTTTTTTATTCTCCCTTTCTTAAGCTCATAAGCCCTCTAAGTATCTTCGCTCTCTTATCGTACAAAAATACAACTGTATCTACGTAAGGCTCAGCTGGGAATCGAACCCATCTTAAGCTCGCCCGAGTTAACCGATAAGTAGCCGGAGATCTGTGCTTGCAACGAGTTTGTTCGTGATCTGGGAAGAAATCGCGCAGTTTCTTCGCCCTTCTTAGAGAAAAACTATAAAATAGTGTCAATAGTGATGTTACAATCATATTATTTCCCCTGGCATCAGGGAAAAAAAAATTATATGCAGGTGGGAGTCGAACCCGTACCGTAGTGCACCACACGACTTGGCCAAGTGACTGGGGTTATTTCCTTAAGGGCAATACTCAGTAGGCGTGCGGTTCAGGGACGTCATACTCAGAAAAGAGTGTTATTGTGTCTTGGATTTAAAACCAGACGTCGAATAAAGACTTATGACGGTCGGGAAATTTGACATGCAAGACGAGCAAGACCCCAACATCTCATCTGTTGTTCACGATCAGGCATAGTACGAAAGGGAAAGAGGAAACGCGTTAGATATAAAGTCTTTCTTCTGCAAACCGTACCGTCACGCATAGTGGAATTTAATCTGGATGGGGTCCACCCATGGACACATACGTGAAGTACAAGGACAACGTCAAAGGTTGCTGACGAACTCGCGAAGAATCATAGCATCCTGTCGATCTTGTCACCGTATATCGGTGCGTCATCTTTATCATACGTGAAGGAGAATTGGCGTACGGGATGCATAGAAGAGAGTACCGTGTCGGTAGATTCAAATAGGCTATAGGATTATCTTGCAGTTAATGCGGTAGTCAGTCGTACATGGAAATCAGATTGATGTAGCCTATCTCTTTCGTCGAGATGGGCACGGTGTAATCCCGGAGTCGAAGTGTAACATAACTCTATGAATCGATGAAGATTGGCGAGGAGTTGCAGAGAGAACATACTGATGGAATGGACGTAAGAAACTTGACCTAGCGGTAACCATTCACCCTACATGGCCGAACTCCTCAGACAGACGACAATATTTCGTCTCATCTGGGTCACCGAGATGCTAGAGCATGATCCATCGCGAAGCCCTACCTCGTCGCACAATCGGAAAGGCATTGCATGGCACGCATGCATTGAAACCGGATTAGGTGCACAAAATATTGGACGAAGCAGTACGGAGCAATGATGTGATTATGATTGGTGGAGCCCAGCGGTGTTCTCGGGCAAGGATTTCCATGAACGTGTTGCCCTGTAGACAGATTAGGCGTGTAAAAGAACGGACACAAGTGAGTATAAGCGCACTTTGACTTAGATATGTTACTCCCCGAGTCGAGAGTCGACTGTTGAAGTTCGAGCACGGGAGGGAACGAAAAAGAGCAACTCGTTTAACCTATGTATGTCGACATGATGGTAAACGGTAAAGAAAAGAAAACTGCGGGTACGGTAAGTAGCGGGTTCGGAGCCGGTTGATTCCGACGATTCGTACAGCCACAGTAACTCTAATATCGACAGCCCTGAGAGGGGCAGGTTCCTGATGGCCCGTCTTCTTCGAGTCGTGGGTAAACATCTGCATACTAGTTTCCTCGCTATCGTAGGGAGCACATGACTAATTATCCTCCTTAGGGCCTTCTGAAATAAAAGGAATCCCATGGCAAGCGACAACTGATACAGACTCAGGAAGAGCGGTACCATCCTCCTTCCTCGTGATGTCTCTTTCCACGCCAAAGCAGGAAGCAGAGTATCGAAGGGTGGAGAGACGTAATGCTGGAGGCCGACGTGACGTTCCTTGGTGGATAAGCATAAGCATAGGCATCTCCGGTCAGGCCGAAGCTAAAGTTAGCATGTGGGTAAGCCACGAAAGGGTATCGAAACATGAAAGCGCACGCGCACAATGGACGGAAAACACGTGAAAGGGATCTCAGGAGCCACGCATCAACGGCTGCATATCCATCTTCTTGAATGATGCGCGGGTTCCAACACGGATAGGAAGTATGAGCGTGGATGTGAAGACATGAAAGGTAACGGGCGTGCGGGCCGAATACTCCGTCCTCGCTTCTTTTGCCGTGCTCCCCGAGTCCCGTCCCCACCCTAAAGAATAAGTGTTCTGCGCTCAGATCAGATCCACCGTCCGTATTCACGTGCATCGCGAATAGACTCCATCGGCCTTGTCATATCTTCAGGGAGGATATATAATCATGTAAGGACAGAAACATAGCGTACAGCACTCGAAGGATGGGATTTGTCGTGATATGCAGGTACTTCGGCAGTGTACATTACCACATCTGAATTTCGAGAAATGGCACGCTGTCAGAAGAAATTGCAACAGGCCTTGAGAACCCATGCAAAAGAATACCCAAGATTGGAGCCACTAGTTCTCTGGCTAGGAATCGAACCCAGATTCAATTGTGATAAGCACGCATTAACCTATGTGCTACCAGAGACTGGTTAAAGGATATCGGTATATTCAAGATCTGATGCAATTTTGCGCATGTCGCTGGCCCTGAGGCTCGTGTCATGCGTTGTCGAATCGCTGTCTCTTTTCGCTGAGGTGAAATCAAACATGACTTCTTCGATGCCAAAGTAACGAAGAATGCTTGGACTGTTTTGAAGTGTACACGCAAGCAAGGAGGGTATCCGTCTTCAGTTACAGTGCCCTGCTCTGACAGATAGTCATGGTTCTTGCGATATGGGATGGCTGAATAAATTCTACAATCCAAGCGTCTAATATGCATAGACTTACCTCGAATGGCTGCATATGGCCCCAAACGAGGCAAAGTTACTCATTCCTCCTCTTCACATGCCCGGGGAATTCCAACAGTATGTATAGCGACCATGGTTTACTTCATACGACAGTGCACTGGGCGCCCAAAGTGGAAGGTAGAGCGTCGAAGGATTGGCTGAACGCGACAATATGGCTTTGAAGTCTCAGTGGAGGTCGACAATGCGATATTCAGCGAGTATCTCCAATATCATGCCAACCTTTTAAATTTCAGCAGCCCAGATGGGCGGGAGGACACGAATACGTGACAACGCACCTTTGCCTGGCAGTGGATAGTACTCCCCAAGTCGAGGTTTAACCAGAGTACCGTTGGTTGCTGATGCCGTGTATCCTTTTATCCAAAGCACAGTCAGCATACTGATGCGTAATTCCTCGACGCCGTAGCAGTTCAGGTCCTCGATGATGTCGTTCCA